GCAGCAGTACCTGCCCAGCACTCGCAGCACGTGGCACTGATTCAGCTGGAAACACTCACTGCAGCACAGTCCTACTGTGGCCCTGTCAACATCTCGCAGGTGACACCGGAGACTATCAGCCCGCGAGGCAGTCACAAGCACAGTGTCACACCCAAGTTTTTGTGGATCACCCTTGAACACTACAGGAAATTTGAGCCACTCAGAAAGCATTCGAGTCACTCAACTCCTGTATTAATTATTCACTATGGATTATTGTCTCAGTGCTGCTCACTAATGTCCCAGCACAAGCTTTTCAATAATACAACACCTCTGCTGGTAAAAGACTCTGAACACAAGAGCATCTGCAGAAGATTGCAGAGTCTCTTATTCTTTCTTCATTTTAGCCAGTAACCTGGTTCTTGGATCGCAAGTTTATGAAAAACATAATGTGAAACCACTCAAAATGGCACTAAAAATCCATGGAAACATCGTAATTACCCTCATGTCGCAAACTATTAGAGGATAAAAGCAGAAAAATTAATCAGAGCAAATAATAAACAACTCCCAAATAGCATGRGGGAAATAACAGCATCAGCTCCATGTTCAGCTAAACCTCCGCTCATGTGCTAGCTCATTCCACACCAGGCGCTACCAGCACAGCTCCTGGTGCACAGCTRGAGGCTGGAACTAATCAGTGTCCCACCTGGGCTCCATTTGGGGGCATCCAGATCACCCACGTTAGCAATGGAAATAGGTAAAACTCTAAACTGTTTTTCAAAGAAGTTTCTTTGTGAAAATGAGTGTAATAGCTGAATGATACAGAATGCCTGTTTCAGGAGAATTTGTGTGTAATTACCTACAGATGAAGTTACAATAATTTATACTTACAGCCTTTGAAAAATATCCATATCCAGTGACTATATATTTTTGTATAATGCAAACAACATTTCAATAAAAGAAAAAAAAATCCCCCCCTAAGATCACAACTACTATCTTAAAACGTATCACTGAAAGGATTATAGTTTTATAATAAAAAAAAAAAGCTGAAATCTGTTGGTGTTTTTTTCCAAACTGAAAGCCAAGAATTTTCCATCCATTAATCAATACAAATTATTGTATTTCTTTATATAAGTCTCTACACATTTTATTCTATTCTATATGCCTTTCTACGTATTTGATATTTCTCATCTTTATAGTGTATAAAAATAGTTGTGTACAAAAAGTGTACAAAAATAATTATGCTTTAATTCTTTCAAAATGTCTCTGAAGAGGGCAAAATTATCACCCTAATCCTAGAGCTGGTGCTTTCTTGTGTAGAAATACTGTGGCTGATTTACTCAAAATCACACACAAAGATCTATGGCAACTGAAGGAACCCAGAAGTGCTGACAACTCTATATTATCCTCGGATTCTGATAAGACACGGTAATCAAAACGAGCTTTAAATAATAAAAGTATCAGTAGTAAACGTCCATAGGAAAATAAAACTCACTAGATATGTTAAGTGCAATCCAGTTGCAATTTCTAGAAGAACTGTTAAATAGTTCCTATACTGGTCAAACACTCTAATCATTCTTGTTATGTTTCGGTTACAAATATTGCCCTCACTAAAGCTCATACTATCCTGTTACAAGAGCTTGATAGAGGAGCAAATGAGAACAGAAAAATGAACTTTTCCCTGCTGCTGAGTAATACTCGTGAAATGGAGCCCTGAGCTTTTGATGTCTTTTGCTTAATAGGAACTCTTGCTTAGAAAATAATTATACACACACACACACACACACACACACACAAAACTTAAGTGTATATAAAATATATATGTATATTTACATATACATATGATAATTACTATTTTTCTCTGCTTATGTGCAAGTTAATATGCTGGTTTGGATTCAGAAACAAACAACGAAAGACAATTGCAAAAGCAAAATATTACTGAAACACTACTGACTTTGGAAAAGTATGGGGAAAAATTAATTGGCAGATGTTTTATATAGCATAATTAACAGTTCATTTCAATGCTCTATAACATGATTAGGAAAATTATGCTTAGAAACAGAAATGTAATAATGATAAATTACTAGTTTTCATATTACGGTCAATCTTCTGCATGGCAAATAATCACCGTGTTCAAAAATAGGTGCATCTGTTCCCTTCTGTCCTCAGCCACACAAGCAGTACAGTACAGTGGCTGGGTGGCTTTCACACAGATGCAGGAGATTTCCATGCATCAGGAGGAAACTCACTGCCAATTCCATTCCTCAGCAGAACAGAAGGTAAAAACATCAGTCCTGTTTTCACAAGGGCACAGTTATTGGGTAGAGATGAAGATGCATTAGYAATTTGCACTTCTTACGGGTAACTAGAGAGCTTAAATTCTGCAAGGTTAGTATGTTAAGAGGGCTCCTCATTTACAGAAGCTCGTGAATAAGAGCATGAGAATCTGTATTCTGTGAAAGTGCAAAATTTAAATGTAAAATCATATACTTTCCTGGATGGCTAGTAAGAAAAGAAACCTGTTCTCTCACACAATTCGCGTCACAGACAAATTCACCAAAAAATAATTGGCACAGTTTTCATTAAAGATACAAAGGTCCTGAATGCACTCAAGTGTCACAAAATTGTGTATATTATTTGAAATGAATAGTTTCATGAGGGCATACTCTGAGTGTTGACAGTGAATTGATGAATGAGATCTTGTGTTTTTGGCTTCTATATATAAAACTACTTTAAACTTCTGATTTTTAGGGCTTTTATCTTTTTTTTTCTTTTTTAATTTCAAAGTTTCTATTTTATCACAAAGACATAACAAAAAGCTATCGCCATTTTGTCCTTAAATTAAAAACAGAGTAACAGATTTTTGTACTTAACCTTTCTCTTATTTCTCTAGCTTCTGAAAATTCACTACTTTCATTGCTTTTTCTTGCTTTGCTTTCTGCTATCAATTCTTAGACATTTGAATACTAAAAACTCACAACTACCAGACTGAAGATCAGAGCAGACACAGAAATAGAAATGGCAAGATTAGAAATCTTAAAGACTGAAAAGTAGACAGAGGAAGAATAAACAAGGATTGAAGAAGAACCGAGGAGTTTAAGGAAAAGCAATGAAAAATACGTCTAAAAATACTTGGAAAAAAACAAGTGTGTGACTGTATTATTAATGTGCTTCTGAGAAAAAATTAGTTCTAGAGAACTGCAGTATAACACTTATCCAAAGCAAAGAAGACAGGAAGACAGAGGTAAGTGCAAAATCACGACAGTTTAGAAAATCCAACTGACCCCTTTCAGCTTTAGCCCATTTTTTATTCCCTCTAAGGAGTAGGTACATTTAAAGAGACCTTTGCTTCTACTATTCATCACTGTTGCTTTGAGCTTTCAAATAAATAAATGAATGGGAAAAAACAGAAGACATGATGCAAAATCTTGATCAACTTTCTAGTTTTATTCCTGCCTTATCCAAGTATGTTCCCACAGGCWTCCCAATTCACTTCCTAATTTTCAAGGCTTGCTTCAAGGCTGGTTCAAGCAGTTTTTCAGAAATGCCTTATCAGTCACCCAATCCCAGCTCCCTGGACAGGAAGTGAATTAGCTATATCTAGAAAGAACAAAGGAGAGTATTTTCCTTAGATAAAGGCAGGAGGTTGGTCCAAAAACAGGTAGAGAAAGGATTTCTCCAAGGACTTTGTTACGAGGTCCTCAGTGATCAACACTGAAAGAGGAGATCAAATGCTTTATATAAGCAAGGCAACCGGCCTAGCCTTTTGGGGCAGAACAAATAGATTCACCCACAAACTGTTTTCAGTTGTATCCAGTTGCAGGCAGGAATGCTGTCCTGCGGTTTGCCCYTTGATGTCCTCCTGTATCAGCAGCATTGGCATGAGAGCATGAAGATAAAACCAAGCACGCACTAAGAAGGCCCTCCTGAAGCACCCACACGGCCAGCAAGGCCGCAGGGCCCCCGGGCAGACGGCTGCCAGACCAGAAGCTGCACAGGGACACTGCGGGACGGAGGGACAGAAGTGAAGACGCTGCTCTGCCCCAAGGCCAGGTTTGGCAGCTACACTCCAGCCCCCGAAACGTTAACAGCTTCAGGCAACGTGCTCAAGCTCCCTCCCCACGGTAACTCCTACAACATCTCCTTAMCTCGCCTTGATTTTATTTTTACCTCCAACACTATCTCGCCACTGCTGGTGGCAACAAAGCTTCTGAGTCATCCAGAATAGAGTTTTTTGTCAGTTTTTCAGCATTTTTTTAAACTATTTTCTAACTCCAGCAAGATTCTGCTTAATGTCTACATAATCCAATTAATTATTTAACTTTGAAATAGGCATTTGAACAGAGCTTCTAATAGTTTATTTTTCACTAAGATGCAGTACACATTCAAGGTAGTATGTTATTCTAACATGTGTTAAAATTTCATAAAATAAATCCTGTATTTTTGTAAACATGTATTAGCTGTATTAAGGGCAACCCTGTCCCACTGAATAAAACAAGTTATTTAAACCTCAATATACTTCCTCCCTGATACATCATGTACAAATTTACTATAATCTGCAAAGGGTTAAACTTCATACTACTTGTCTATAGTTTCTTAAAAATAACTAACAACAACAAACAGTGGCTTTGGTACGAGGATCCAGTGTCAGGCTTGAATCCCAACTGCCTAACTTTGGTGTGTTGGTATCTCAGGTTTCAGACATACAATCATGGTTTAAACAATTAGTTTCAAGAAGTACCCCAAACTAAGAGCCTGATGTTATCATTCCAACTTGTAGCCTTTGGCTGTGTATAAAGGATGTAATTTCAAATAGCATTTGAACACACACAGTATTTCAATTGTACCTAATACTCTAAACCTATCTGAAATTACATAAAAACATATATTTAAAATGTAAAGCTAGAGAGAGCCATCTACAGTATATAATGTGAAAGGAGGATCTGTGAGACTGTGATGGAGAAGTGCCATATCATTTTAAAACATTTGGGAGTCTTCCAGTATGGAAAAGACAAAGCTCTTACCGTTTCCTTTGGAATTTGTGACTGGCTTTGTTCTGCATTCTAAAGGAAGTAAAAAAAATAAATAAGAACACGGCTACACACGACATAGACTATCTATCAGCAGAGGGATATACAGAGAGCTCTAATTCGGATGTGAAGAGGCAACAGAAGAATGGAGCTAGTTATGCTCCCTGATCCAAGCCTCTCTAAATTAGCACTAAGGGAGAGGTGAACAAAGATAATTTCTGGTAATCTTAGGCCAGAGCACCTGACTTCCCTCATTCCAAGCAGGTGGCTACCTGACCAAGGAAGAATCAAAACTGCACCCTTTTCCAGCTGGTGGAAAGTCCTCGCTCATGCGTGTTATTCCCTTTCTCTTCTGCTTTGAAGTATTCAAAGAATTACTTCAGCAGTCGAGGTGAATCCTCCCAAATATTTTAAACAAGTACCTATTTTCAAAAAAGAAAAAAAATCKCATTTTAAGGATTGCCCTTCTGAACTCACTTGGATGAACCAGAACCACCAAATCCTGATGTTCCAGGACAGGKGAGGTGCTTTCAGGCCATCACAACTGGGACTTTCCTGTTCCCTGTGTTCCTTCCTCACTTACGTAGCACTTAAGGTCACCCATTGAAATCCTTTCTGTGTCGCATGTGAATGGAGACACATGTACGGATTTTTTTCTCTTCCAAATTCAGGTTAAACCACATTAAATCTCCTTTAGACACCCAGATGCCACCTTGCTGCTGGTCGGGATGGTCAGCAATTTCTTCCCCTCTCCCTGGGCCAAAATTAGAAGCCAGGTTTTACAGAACTTTTTCTGCTTTGGGCTCTTTTGTGGTGGGATAAGGACAGAAATGTTGTGGCAAGTACTAACATAAATATCCAGTTAGCTTTAACCTACAGTCAAAACCAGTAAAAGAGGAAGCAGTAAATACCAGGAACTTATAAAGGACCTACATGTAAAACTGGACATAGTGACTTGAAAGAAAAACGACACTAACTCTACAAGCAAGTTTCTCCTTGACRATATTGAGACTTGCTCAAAAGCTAAACAATTTGCATCAATTCTTCTGATGAATTTACAAAGTACTATCAGGTTCTATAAAAATCCTTCACAATAAAGAGTAAGTTATGCTTGAAAAGTCATGCGAGTAATCCTCATTCCTTCCATGAAGGAGGTTGGGGAGGATGTTTAAGAAACAACCTACTTCTCACACTGACGAGGACAAACCCTAATGCATTAATTTTGGGGCATTAGGTAACCCTGGAAGCAATAAAATGCCTGGTATTCCAGACAAGCATCATCATTCCTCCAGAGCTCACTCCTTAGAGTTGCATCCTGCCATATTTTCAGGCTCCCTGTATCCATACTTTATTCACTTTTACCAAGACCTGTAGCATAGAAGCTGCTGCACAGAATTGTGATTCTCCTTATCACACGCTCTAACCTAACAACRCGAACTACAAAGACCCCAGAGTTACCCACATGGGATCAGGTTAACAGTCCCTTACGTTTCATTTACAACTGCACATTTTCCCATGTCCTTTCCAGACAGCGGTGTCAAAATACATTAAAGACCTTAAGCTTCATGACTTCCCTGAATGTTTATTTTCTTCATTTTACTTATGAGGAAAACCAAGGATAAATAACATTTCCAAAGTCACTCAGCAACCCAAAACATAAAATCTAAACACCTGTTTTATTTGGATTATTAACTAATGTTGGCAAATATAAGCATTTTTAATACTGACTGCTCCTCAGCACAGAATATGAGGTCCTGTACTTCAACAAATGAATAATATCAAACAAGATTATTTTTAAGGATATATTTTGGAGACATATCTCATTATGTTAATGTTTAAGCACACAGCTGTAGAAGATGTGATAGAAATACGGGAAGGATGCAAAGCTAAATTGTTACTAAATGGTCAGAGAAGSTCTACAAGTGACCAAGTTGAACTGACATGATTTCAGATCATTCCCCTTTCCTCCTCCAATTTGTTTTTTAAACGTAGAATTAGTTAAAGCCAATGACAGGAGCTTTTTTTTTTTTAGATTAGCTCTTCTCAGAGAGGGAAACACAGCCGTYACGCTGGGTTGCAGTTCAACAGTTTCCCCAGCACTTCTGCTGCTGCTCTCTGACAGCGGAGCAGCCCTAGCATTTCCTCACACCAGAATGCAGACAGATCCTTAGGCAAGAGAGGATCGTCGCACGCACGTGCACTGCCAGACCCTCCCAGTGTTCCTGCTTAATGGGAACTCCTGCAGTTTGCACCAGTTCAGATCTACCCCTCGCACTACGGAGTGTGTAGTGCCCACCTACCACTCGACATGCGCGAGATCCAGCTTCCCTGCACTCCTGTGTGCCAAATAACTGGGAAAGCAGCACCTGAGCAGCAGCAGGGAGGCTACTGAGGCCAAACGCATTTAAAGGGGTCAATTTGCCACTATTTTTTAAACTAAACCCAGTGCTACTACAATTAAGTCTATTCTGTATTCATGTCATATCATTGTTTAGAAGATATTAGTACATTAGTATAATTTATGCTTCCTCATTATAATGTAGAAATAATATACACAAAATTAGGCCATTTTCTTCTAAGTTTATTTMGAAAACTTAAAAAGCATTTTCATTCACCTTTATGTAAGATACCAATACTGTGAAAATTACATTATAGGAGCTTATAAACAGATTGCTTTCACAGTTGCAGCCTTAAAGTAGAGAACAGTATGACTTCATGTTGTTCATTTCTATTCACTTTATGACATCTTTCATTTAAATGTATCAATATCTGAAGTCATGTTCCAAGAGCATTAAGCTAAATGTGCAGTTCATTTGCATCATTCCCTGCCACTTTGACTTATAAAGTTTAATTGCAGTTTGGAAAAATAAAGACTAACTATCTTGAAATGTTCAAACAAAAAATCATTCTTTTTGCATTCAAACATGAATACCAAAGAGAAATGAAGCAATCTATTCATCACACTAAATGTCACTTATATTTGTCTATCTTCTCACAATAAAGCAGCCAAATAATTTATTTTAGAGCTATATATAGCTATGAGGATACAAATAATAAATAACTCCAGCAGTTTAATAGAGTACAGAACAAAGTAAGACTGCTACATTCACAGTCTACCTTTTCATAACAGAAATTATCTTGAATAATTATCAGGGAAATATCTGTATACACTATGCAAGTGGAACAGGTACAGTATGAAACATCATTTTTTCCCATTTCATATAAATTCCTCAGAAACATTCTCTGAATTACCCTGCTAAATTAATAACTGCAGGATTTCCATTCCATAGAGAGACTGCATTTATATTCAAACAAGAACTATTATTTCTTGTATATTCCACTTTTTCATAGTTATTCCCATACCCTCTTTTGGCATAATATTAAATGTTCTAAAATATTTTGATGAGCAGGTAGTGGGATAAATGGCAAGTTTACAAACACAGATTTGCTCATGTGAAAGATATGAAATAATTTACTTGTCTGCTCTGCATGCATCCAAAGTCCATCAGATAACTTCTTCTATAATAAGCATTTTAACTCAAAATAGATTCAGACTGCTTTTAAAACTCTCATTCATACATTTTAAACCAATATTTAATTCCAATACCAGCTCTTAAAGAGAAAAAAAAGCATTTGTGTAAAACGTTCTAAATAAAGCAAAGTAGCCTTTTGTTTTCTTGCATTCAATTCTGACCACGCACATTTACTAGCGGGTGACAAGATCAAATCATTTGCTCACAACCATCTAAATCTCTTAGCTGCTCTCTACTTTACGCACCAGTTCCCTTGGGTGGAATGTTTCTTCCTGGCGAAAAATCAGGAGGCTGACGGTCCCTCCCATCTTGGTGCTCCTCAGCAAGGACACGACTTCTTCCTGAGTTTTTCCTGTCAAATCAACTCCGTTCACCTGTGCCAAAGGAAATGTTAGAAAATGCTAAGACTGCAAAAAGTAGACACCAACACGGAAAAGTCTTGTGAATTTTATAGGACTTGTGAATTTTATAGGACTGAAATAGGAAGGCAGGAAGATTTCTGCTCTGCTCCTGTCACAGGGAAATTTAGCCCCACGAGGATGCCCTCCCTTCAGGAGGGAAGTGGCCGTGATCCTCAGCAGCAGCAGCCTCCTCTTGCATCATGCCTTTAAGTTAACTCACTGAACCTCTCACACTATTAGCAATACTTCCAGTCATTTCTGGTCTGGCACTTGGTGCTGATTTAATATATTAGGTAACRATTACTCTGCTTCAACTTATTCCTCAGCAGCGAAGCAAAAATATTGCACAAAAWCACATAAGGATATTTAAACTTCTTGTTTCATAATACACCTGAGTCTTGTTCTTTAAACAGCTACCTTCTGCAGCTGCACAACCCTTAATCTGCTACCCCAAAAAAGGGAGAAACACTTTCCTATAATATAAACTATTAAGAGTTGTTGGAAATTAGCTATTCTTTTGGCTTAAGCCAAAATAGAGAAACAGCATGTAACATTTCATCACCTCAATTAATCGGTCTCCAGCTTTTAGTCTCCCATCTTGAATAGCTGCACCTCTTGGAAGGATGTTTTTCACATAAATTGGAGCAGAGCCACCAATTGGGACATCTCTTGAAGTAATGCTAAATCCCAAGCCCTCTGTACCTGTGCAAGAATATAGAATATTACTTGTTAAAATGCAAAATATAATATTAAATGAAATATATAATACAAAAATAACATGTAATACAAAAATAACATGTAATATAAAAATAACATTTTGTATTAGATATTAATTTTATCCAGAAGAATATGTATCTCACTAAAAAAAAAAATCCATGAGAACACATGTATATGAGGTAAGAGTTACTGCATGGCAAAACAAACACACATACATATACATATACATATATATTGCATATATATGTGTGTCTGTGTGTGTGTGTGCATATATATATATATATATATATATATATAAAATATATCTGAAGCACTGACTCCTGGCACAAGCAGCTCAGCAGGCCTTCCTTGTAACCTGCTGTTCTGACAATTTCCAAGTCACTGCCATATTTCCAACTTTCTATTTAAATAAGATGAATGACAAGGAACCAGAACAAAGCACGCACGATATCCCATCCCTGCCTTCCCCCTTGTCAATCCGGATATTGTCAATATTCCTTTCCTCTCTCTCGCGACACCCAGCAAAGCCGTCGAGCTGATGCTGTTGGCCAGGGGGGTTTGTCAGCCCSCTCTGGCCACGGGCAGGTGACGGATACACCCGGAGTTCAGTGGTCTCATTTCTTCTGCTGCAGGAGACCCCAGCTGGGTTGGTGTCTCCAGCTCCTGGGCCCTGCGGGTGGTCCCCTTGGGGTCCTCCCCAGCTTGCACCCATCACCCGCTGCCCGCCAGGCTGCTCGGCAGGGTGCAAGGCCAGGCTGGCACCTTGCACTCATGTTCTACATGCCRCTGTGCTTCCAGGGGACTACGCTGAACTAAGACTAACTGAAGCAAAAACAGAAGAAATACAGACTGYACATGGCAAATGAGGCTTGCTTTCATTTTGAAGACATTATGCTCTGTTATGGGTTGCAGGTTACTGACTGTATTTCAACAACTCTACCAGACACAAACGCAAAGGACAAAACGAAGTCTTTCCTCCCACACCGAAACCTCATTTGCGGCCTCTTTGATGCAACTTATCCAGCATTACCTGCCATCTTTGAAACTCCATGTTGAAGCTGCCAACACCACACACTGTTTACAGGGCACTGAGGCCCATTTACATGGGTGAAAAGCAGAGAGCTGTTGCGTGGCACGTTACAGGGCAGCACCAACAGCATCTCACAGCCACCTTCGGGAGATGCCCACAGTTCACCAGCTAGATACACACATCCCAACCTAGATTTAATCCGACTTACTTGGGCGACCTTTAGCTGGGATTTGGTGATATAAATTCCAGGAGCATAGCTATGATCCCTGGAAGTTGCACAACTTATCCTTGTGCATAAAATCTCAGGGACAGGCAGCGGCTGAGCTTTTATGCAAAAGCACTTACTTAGCTTGGGTCTCAGGGAAGCTGAACGTGTCCTGTGTGAAAGATGCACAACTGCAGAATTACTGGAGCTTAAAGTTTCAGTTGACTTGTGTCCTATAATCCATCCCCTAAATTCATTTGCTAAATCTACTTTTTCACACATGCAAAAAGGAAGTAAGATTCTTACAACATCAATATTAGTTTACATACAGATTTCAGAGATCTCCACAATTACATCTGACCAAAACATTTAAATAGCAAGATGGTGATCACAAGAAGAAATAAGCTGACACAGGAGGCAGTGAGGGATGGGTGGATTGTTGCTTTTTTAAGTTTTTGTATTGGGAGTAGGTAATCCTCATGTGTCGAATGCAGAGCAAGCGCACGCAGCTCATACTGTTCAGCAGTTTTGGATTAATTCCTCTAGGCTATCAGGAGGYAACTTCTCTTCCTCAAATCTGCAACAGTCAAGACAGCTAAAAAAGTGATATTTGAACCTGAAGGGCTTCACCCACTTTCAGGCTAAATGAAATTCATCAGGGCTACTGCACAAAGATGCAAAAATTAGTCAATATCCTAATATCCCCATGCTAGTTTGGAGACCTCATAATTTTAAAGACATCTCAAGCAGTCMTACAGCTCTTTAATTCCTTGCAAGAAACGAGAAAGAGTGTAAAAAAAATTTAGTCATATCTTGACTTCTTTTTATAGCATTTATCTTTTCATATTTTAGGTATCAATGTTGACTATTGCTCTCTCAATACCCATTTCATCCATAAAATGAAGCAATATCAGAATTTGAATGCATGCCCAGGACAACATTTCATTATTAATATGCCCGATATGCACAGCCTGATTAGGGTGTCATTACAGGTGTGCGGTTCTTACACTCCACTTTCAAACCCTGAGGGAAAAACAGAAGTTGAAACGTTCATATTACAAATGCTCACAGGATATAAAGTTGKACTATGGCATTTTATGCTGTCAAATCTTGAGAAAGCCCTTTCCAAAGCCTGCAGAATTCTGCAAATCCACAGTGGCGGATTCCATATATTAGCAGAATAAAATTTTAATCTACTTGTTTCTGTAGAAAGAGAGTGCCTAGACTAAGCTATATTTTGCTGCACTGCTTTGTACAGCTGGTTTTATACTTTGAAACAACTTTCGGATGTCATTTTCCTCTCATTTTTTTCACTGCTTCATTTTACTGTTATTACACTATAGTTGCCCTTAACTGTATAACACAACTTCATCAACCCCCATGCTCMTTGCATATTACTTAGGAGTTGGCAAGATTTGAAAATAAGAGACACATTCAGTTGAGGCCAAAAATATATACCACTGTGGCTGGATCAACTTGATGCTTTTTTTTTCTTTTTTTAAGCTACTTCTTTTTATACATATAACTAAGTCAGTTATGCATACTCCACGTTTCAACTGTCCTGTCAAAAGAAATGTCTATTACATCTTAATACCTCCCCTTTACAAAAATATTTTTAGTTCTTATGGTGTAAAAGTGTACATTATAATAAGGAGGGAACTATGCAAACATACTGTAGACTCCCCTGATATCCCTGATTTACACTAAAAGAAGCCTTTAATACAGCTTCAGAAACTGGAGAAACACTCAGAACCAGAAAAGAAACAGAGAAAGGAAGAATTTTCATCTTTTTGAAAATACAGGCATTATCCCTCTGAAAGAATAGGAGCTTCAGTTTTTAATGTCTAGGTTATCTGAGCTATATTCAACTTAACCCCTTACAGATTTTGAAAAGAAAGAGAGTAGAAAACATCTCTTCCTCCCTCTACAGCTGTCATCTCTGACAATAATCAAATTGTGATAATAACATTTAAAAATTACCCACTAATTGGTGTAATTCAAATTCTTAGGCTTCTTTTGATAAACCAGCAGCTCTCTTGACAAGTCAGAGCTCCCTTTTTCTCCGGAAGGCAATGCCAAAAACACTTGCAAAGGTCACATTACCCTAGGGAGCTTAGCCAGCTCTGAACTGCAGGCAAAACAGTTCTAGGTGAATGAAATGGGTAGCTTCAATAGTACAGGCACTATGTTGGACAAACAGACAGGAGGCAAATTTGATTTTTCAGCTGCTATTTGAGGGGGAAGTCAGTTCTAGTTGCACTAAGACAGGAAAAAAATCTTCACAAGGTTTAATTAAATATACATTCAAATGAACACCATTGTCTTAGCTCGAATCAGCCTGATCATAAAATGACAGAACGTTAAAGGAATTTTTATATCTTGCTAGAGACAGCCAGCTTTGCTGTCATCTCCCAGAGAAGAAGGGTTTAATTTCTCCCTGACGTCTTCATGACTGCAGAAGGCACAGGACCAGGGCAAAGCTCCTGCCTTTCCAAGGCTCTTCTGCATTCACAGATGTGCTCTCCTCAGCCAGCATCAAATGCAGGTCTAAATTTCAGGAGCAAAATGTGCCATGGGAGGAAATACTGCCAGAACACATGAGAGGACAGAAGCATCACTACCGCACTGCTTGGTGAATTGTCAGTGGATTTTTTTCAGAGCAAAAGTGAGTGTTAGATACATTTTAAAATACGCATTTTTACACACTAAGAAATGTCACAAAGATGACAACTGCTCTTATTTAAAAGGAAGTATAGAAGGAAGAATTTGCAATTGGTCAGAAGACCAGCAGAGATCTTGCGAGTCACACACGTGCCAGAGTCCTTTGACTAAAGCTGAACATATGCTACCGAATCACTAGCCCTCCAGAACTTCCCCTGCTTTAGACTTAAGGCAAATGTGATGCAAAATCTTTATTTTGAGCATTGTAAGGAAGAGTTGAAGTGCAGCCCATTTCAGGACTGTGCCAGCCATGGTTGACACAAGGCTCAGTTGTGTCTCCAGTCACACAGACTCAGGGCCCACAGCCCAGCAGTGATGGGGGCAAAATGAAAAGTCAGATCATTGCTAGACAGAATACAAAACCCATTTTGCCTGCATGGCTTCTTTTGACCTCTGCGTTGCTTTTAGGTAGGAGTTAACCCACCACCTAATTATAAACCTGATTGTTTGTGCAGTGCATTTGCTAGCCATCTATCTACGTTTCCATTTTCTCTCCCTGCTTGAGAACGATAACAAAATAAGCTCCCGCAAGGAGTGTTCTTTACAGCTCTGCATCTGATTAATTTCCCTCCAGTTTTGTCTTCTGGGAGTRAAAAAAGGGCTAGTTACTGGATAGCGAGTTAATTACATTGATCACAGAACTCCTTCAGATCCCGATTTGATATTTAAACACATTAACCCTTTTAAAGAAAGAGAATAGCTGAGACTCAAGCACGGAGTGACCTGCACTCCCTAAATTTATGCAGATTAACTGTCATTAAAACCCTATCTTAAGACTAACTCTTCCCCAGATTGTCCCTCCTATCTGGCTCCTCCCAGGATGTGCAGGCAAACAAGCATTGCTTCATGGGCTTTGACGAGACACATTCCTCTCCATTAGTTTAGAGACCCAATAAGGAACATCTGAAGGACCCACAGCAGCAGCTGCTCCTGATATTTGTCTTACAATTACCTCTCCTTCAGGAGTGCAAGCAAAGCTTCAAATGAATCATGCTCTTCCAGCTCCCCTAACTTAAGAATGTGCAGACAGATGAGTTCTCAAGTACTTTGTACAAATCTCCCTAAATTAAAAAAAAAAAAAATTCTCACCTCTAAAACCACGTAAAATGTTTGGTGACCAGACAGACACGCACTGTATTTGTCAGTATTCCATGTAACAGAAGTAGAGAATATTTCAGATCTACACAAAGAAAATCCACACAGGCAAATAAAAGACTGTTTAGGGAAGGTCTAGGCCCTTTTTTTCAGTATGAAGGATGAAGAGCACAGCTTCCCTCTCCTGGCAAGCAGGGCGCACACATAAACTGCTTGTGACACAAAGCAGCTTAAACAACTGAGCTACAAAATAAAATAAATGCTTATAGTGACAGCATTAGACTAGGAAAATATCCAGAATATGGAGAGACATAACATTAAAATAAAGCTAAGTAGAAGGACCACACACCCTGTGACAGTAATTAGAGCAGATATGCTCCTTTCATGCCTTTCCAATTCCTGCTTTTGCACAACAGAATATTTCTTAGGATCCATGTACAGAGGGTTTATTGCTGAAATAATTACCCAGCTGCTTTAGCCTAGAAAAGGCTTTTCTGTTGGAGTGGACTGCATGCAAGAGCTGAACTGAAGAACTACCCTGGTCATAGTGGGGAGCTTTCATTACTTACCAGCCTTACCTGCTTTCAAAGCTTACCGCTCACTCTAGACACGGTCTGAGAAGTTATTTGTAGTGGGCTTATTTAAGCCCCCTAAGCTCCAAACTCATGCAAGGGCAGGTGGAGTGAACGTTCATGCAAATGCCCAAACACTAAACCCTGCTGCTCAGGCGTCTATGAAATTTCTGCTGCCACTTGCACGGTCCAGGAAAATTACTTGCACGGCCACTTTCTACGCAGTTGTGTGACTGGGAACATCTTTTTTTCTCTAAGCAGTGCTCGTACCTCTCAGTAAAATCTTTGACTTGGCCAATAAAAGCATTCTCCCCCTTCTGCTATAGCCTGCTAATAAATAGCTATCAGAAGTGTTTTCTTAAAACTAGAGAGATCAAATGATGCATTTTTCTTTTCTCTAGTGGCTAATAATGCCCAAAATGATTTGCTTCATGCTTGACTCAGATTTGCTCCTTATTTTTCAAGGTCACTTAAGCAATTAAGGGATCTACAAGTTTCATTTCAAAAGTGACAAACATCCCTCCTGCATCTCAACGGGAATTTTAATGACTGTTTTTAAGAGATTGTTTCAATCACTTCAAAAGAAATTTTAAAYAAAAGTTTAAAATGTCAGTTCCAAGTCTGTCTCAAAAATCTGTATGGAGAAAACAAGAGAGTAGGATGAAAAATGCATGTAAATCTGTACACTGTAGGTACATGCTGGCAGATATCCTACTGATACTTTACGGTCTTATGTGCTCTACTACATAAAGAAGTTAACCCAAGTTGGTGCACATAAACTGTCCATATCTGTGCTTTAGTCTGAACTGTAACTGTAATTCAATGTAATAATAATAATAAAAATAAATAAATAAATAAATAAATAACACTCTGGGAATGAACTACTGCAGATGAGATCAAAATTTGTCCTAAGAGACCGCGTGATATGAAGGGGCTTTCTTTTCCCTACATATTAGCTATGAAGAATTTTATTTATTTATTTATACTTACTGTGTATTGGCTTACACCAGAATATACATAAATACAGCCTGGCTGTCATTTCTTCTGCTATCTTAATTTGTGTGAAATATTAAGCTGAACTGTTATACAGCCCTAATAGCATTAGAATATCAGTAATAACCCCTACATCTATATGCTAGAAGTTCAGGCCCTGACCTTTAAGGAAAGATAAACAGATATCCATTTTCATTTAGAAAAGCCAGCAAACATTCCGCATTGACTGAAACATATGACTGACCTTCTCTTCTGACTTTATTAAACAGCTAAATCCTATGAAAGTTCAGGTTATTTTAAAATGCCAAAACAGCAGTAAATATTAAGAAATCATAATTATGGAAGCACATTCTATAGGGCTGTCCTACCATGCCATTTTATATAATACAGCTCATGCAATATACAGAAGGTTTAATAAATTAGCTGTAATAAAGAAGGTCTGCGTGTCCTGAAGAAGCAGTTCTCATATATTACATCCTTAACCAGGATGCAGCCGTTAAATCAAAAGTGAATTTCAAGATGAAGCCCTCCATGTTGTGTGCCATAATGTATCCCACAAGGATTTTTTAATCTAATGATAGTAATTGATGAAATAATTGCTCTACATTAGCTACAAAGAAAGCACATTTGTTAAGTTTCTATAAAGTCTGTATATTAACCCATTCTTCATTAGAAATAATCAAAGACCAACAATGTCCCCTGTTGCACCTACATGTATAACGAACTGCTTGGGGTTCTGCTTCATTTGTTGCTTCCCAAGTGAATTCTTGGAGGAATCAAATGAAAGTCAAAATGGGAGAACAGGTCTCTTTCCAGAGTGGAGATTAATAAATGAAAGACAACGATAAAAAGGAATCTGTTTTATGCAACATAAAACATTACCATGCATAAAATACAGTATGATAAATAACTTTAATAGCCTTACAGAGAAAGAAAGGAATTATTTATCATACTGAGCTAGGTCCCATCTCTGGCTATTACTCGCATATAAGTAGTCTGCTAGGAGCAAATAACCCCYGCAAGATTCCCAAACATATTCTAGATAACAAAGCTTTTATTACTGTAAGAACCATCCAAGTTCCTTGGTGCAAACTAGGCATTAAAGGTCTCAAAGAGTATAGCTAACATGCATTAGCTGGTCTTGCATGCATGGTCGCCTAACATGAAGGCCAAACTACCTTAAAGAAGGAAGGGGAGTGTTTAAGAAACAGGATCTGGTGTAAAATTTTATATATATATATATGTATATATACACACATATATATACATATATATATACACACCCACACACACACACACACACACACATATATATACATATATATATATGCCTCAGGGATGCTTCCAAAGGCTTCCAGTAGACACAAAAAATAGATGGAGAGCACTGCCTGTGATGAGCACATATCTGAGCACATATTTGTAAACACGGTGATTCCTTACTCAGCCAATAATGAAAAGTTTTTCCAAGCAGGTTTGATTTGAGCTGATGGCCTCAAGTAATTCTTGAAGGAGCATCAGCAACAGAAGCAAACTGTCAGCTCAACCTTATGTCATCCAAGTTTGTAGAGCTTAAAATTCAGTAACCAGAAAGAAGCAATCTGGTGGTTCATGTGAAGTTCATGGAATAGAAAGCATAAGGATAATGTGACAAGCAGCCTGGTACCCACAAAACCGTGTAAAATCTCTAACATTCAATGCAYTGCCTGCCATATCTTTCGAGAAGAAAGTTAATTAAGAAAAATTATTAACACGAAGCAAATACCATTTCCTAGATGGAAAGTATACTGAGTTCATGAATACCATCACACTGGTAGTTTTTTGCTGTGTAATGTAAATGCGACTTTTGTTCCTAAAGATTAAAGTGTATCTAACCTTAAGCATGCTCATTTTTATTTCACAGGGCTTAGAGCATGTATGCTTCTTTAAAAAGTAATTTACCAAGAGCTAGAAACACTCATATCTAAAATAAAAGTCATTCCACAATACTTTGAAGTATCTTAAAAGGATCTAGATAGTAACAACATAAAAATACCAAATCTTCTCACAGAGGGCATTTAACACATCATTAAAATTCCATAGATGTATCAAATGCATCTACAAGTAYGATATACATCCAAACCAGATGTTAGGATAAGCAGCACACACTGCTTTCTTCTCTGTCCTTAAACAGTCTCTCACTCACGTTCAAATTACTTAGCATAATGCCCAAGATAGGAAATACTAGATTACACCTCAATTGTTCAGTCAATAATTTCACCCCTCAATAGATTTAATAAATTAAAAAAAAAAAAAAAAAAAAAATTTTGTTCAAAGTTGGGAAGTCTAGTTTACCAGATGGATCCGGCATACTTTTTAAGTGTTAAGATAAACCCACAGTTACTAAGTTTGAGAAGTCCTGACAGCTTCAAATTGCAGAATATAGACCATTCTGGCTTATTTATGGTTTATATAGTTCTTCCATCACCGGGCCTTGGCAACAGCATTTGYTGTAATGAAGGCATTTTATCAGTTAAAGGATAGCAAGAAACAACCAGAGCACTCCCTGGAATAGCTGCATGCTGGCACACACAGAACACATGATTCTCGAGCACAAGGGACTGCTGCGTGGGCAACCCCACCGTTTGGTTTTAGAACGCATGAGTGGCACGAGCGTTTCAAATACCAACCCCTCAAATCCTTCAGGCTTTTRCAAACCAACATGCATAATGCAACAGAACTGTATGCATGTCTCTCTGCTCTACATGTTCACCATATACAAAGAACTACTGCGATACACRAAGAGCTACTGCCTTACCTTTTCTCAGTTGTATACTGAGTCTCTTCCCTATCTTTTTGGTGTTGTACCCACTGTTGGCAGTGGAGGCGAGAACTTTCTGAGGTGACGGTACCAGGCCCGACGGTGGCTTCCCTGATGAATTCACACTATGAGGTAGCTGCGAGTAGGAGTCTCCCTGATCCGACTGGGTAACCCCTCTAGACATTCTTTGTAACGTGTGAAGTCCAGAATTATTAATACTTTTGCTGTCAGCATACTGAGAATCGGGGCTAAAGCGGTTGGAGTAGTACGTGTTCTTCTCGCTTTGGGAGAGCTGCTCATACTGCTCTTTATTTGCTGCAGGGACCACATGGAACCAAATGATGGGCGCACGCATGGCTTGGCGAAACATATGCTGTGCTCTAGGTTCAAAATGAAGAGAAAATTAGCAAATTAAGGCTGGCAGACTACAAGACATTATAAGCATAATTGCTGATGTTAATTAAGCAACATGAGCTGACAGATACACTGCAGAAACTCAAGCATAACCTATAAAACTTGGATCTGTTCATTAGTCCGCTATGCTTTTTGCTAAGGTTTTTTAGCCGTAGGCCAATACCATGGGTAAATATGCTTAACAACTAATATTCCAGATACTGTACTCTGAAAAGTGACAATTTTAACCCTAGTAATGAAATGCATACAGTATTATGGCAGTTAATAAAGTGCATACAGTATTACGGCAGTTAATAAAGTGCCTTGTGTTTTGAATCTTAATAATTAATAGTTCATTTTGATAAGGTAATCACAATAATGGCAGAATTATTACAATASAAACTACATTTTAGCAAAGATTACGTATGTTCTTAACTTGCTGCTGATGCAGTCTTGCAAAGATTTTATCTTATATTTCACTTCATGTATATAAGTAATCCTTCAGAGGACAACATTGAGAAACAGGAACAAAATGCTTAATCCTGCACACATGGACACAGGCTTTAGGTTGTGATCCAAAGCAGACAGAAGTCAATGAGCATTTTCAAAGACGTAACAAATTCAGATTTTTGTCACTTTTAAAAGTACTTCTGATTATTGGGGATTCTACCAAAGTCCAAACATCCACTAAACAAATATTTATAATGCCTGAAAATTATACAGGAAGTTTCTGCTTCTGAGCATATATCACCTTTAGTTCTCACATACATAAAACCAAAAACAGGTTTTAAATATTAAAAATAAAGTCTCTATACTATCTGCATATATCCAGCATGATACACTGAAAGTATACAAGCAAAAATCATGCTGTATTTTCAGGGTAAATAATATACCAGCAAAAGAAAAAAGAATCCATAATGTTCAAAAGCAAGGCAAAACCCAATGAAATGAGAAATCCCTATACTCTAATGACAGCACTTATCCTTTAGTTTTGTAGCTTGACTAATTAAAAGGCACTAACATCTTCAGCATTCCTTTTCCAGAAAGAGCGAATTGAGGAATTTTTTCTTAAATACTTCATTACCTCAAATTAATGAAAGGTGCAGTTGCTAAAGATTAAATATCGCAATATTACATACAGTAAATACACTTACTGTTCAAATCTCCTATTCCGAAGGTCTCCGTCATTAATCCTCACAATACAATCATTCTCACGGAAAAGATTTTCTTGTTCGGCTTTTCCACCTTTCTCCAATCGCTTCACTAACAGCCCCAGGGTTCTGGAACATTAAGATTATAAATGATCACACATCTAACACTTGGCAGTATATAAAATCCTCCTGACTTAATATTTTAATATAATCATTATGAGAAATGAAATTTTAAACTGTCTTTACTTAGGATTTGGATACAAAAAATTTAAATTACTTTTAAGCATTACCTGAATCAARGAAATAAGGACCCTAGCGAAACAAACTTCTCAGTTAAAAGCAAGTGGAGACAGCGTGATGACACCATATCCTGTCTTGCAAAAGTCCTAAATTTGTGAAATGAAGAAGCTGGCTTGAAGCAGCCCTGCATATCTGACAGCCTGCATCTCTCTGATGAGTCAACCAAGAAGCTCAACTTGCAATTTCATTTCTGAATTAGCAGCCAATGCCTCAGGTTTTACTACTGCTTCTGTGCAAGTGAAATGTGGGGTCATCTCACCTAATAATCATCCAGCCTACAGTGGGGGGATGGAGTACACAGGAACTTCATGTGAACCAAATGCATTTTTTGTGAACCTTAGTTTAAGTATTACATGCAAAGCAGTAAAGAAGTTAAAAAATGAAACATTTTTAATTCAGCATACTATCTAAAATGAATCAGCTCAGTAATGTCTGAAAATAATTACTATTTGGCAGCCTCTGTGGAATGAGTTGGTCACTCTGTCTAGTGCAGTGTCATCTTACTGACATTCTCAGAGAGGAAAGGTAAACAAACATTTAACCTAATCTTCCATAATGGTTCCTGAAGAGTGCATTTGCGCTGAGAGGAGCATGGCAAAAGTCAATACTCTTTCTATATCTGAACCAGTTTGAAGGAGTCAATCTTCAAGATCAGTTCTTGCATTAACACAACATTGTCAAAATCACAGCGTTGAAGGTTTTTTTTTTTTTTTTTAAAAAAAGACTTTTTTCAAAAGTCATTCCTAAACATGGTATGGTATKGAAAAAAATCAGATGAATGGCAGATATAAAACCAGATGCAACTTATTAGAAGAAAACTTTCATACCACTTCAGTTCACAAATAGCTCAAAATAAATGAGCAGTCAATGATGCTTAAAAGGACTCCTCAGGCATCTGACAGCTACATATGCACTTGAGCACTTCATCAAATGGGCCAGAAAGGCAAAACTAACTTTAACCTTGTTTTTCTACTTTAAGTTCTACTTTTGCCAATTTATCTCTAACATATGCAAATCATAACAATTTCAAAAAGTAATATATTATTAAATGATAAATAATTTTAGAAGAGAAACAAAAGCTGTCTCCTACAAGCCAGGTGAAAGAGTAGGAGAAATAATTGTATTATTACTTCCACTTTGGAACCTCCTAGTGACATTTCGATATGCTGGAAGGCTCTATACATACAACCAGAACATGGGAAAAGCAACAGAAAGCACCAAGACAACACACAGCATCAAATGGCATCAAACGGAATTTGCTTGAGATGCTGACGCTGAGCTGAGATAATTCTGCTTGCAGCCGAGGCAGGAGGTTTCCCTCACACCTAACACACACCTCGCTCACTGCGGTCACGGTTAATGGGGAAACTGCCCMCTGGAGCAGCCTTGTTGCCCCGAGCGAGGCCTTCGCAGCCGCATTTGGCCCCCGACAGACCTGCAGGCCTCGCAGCAGCCRGGGTGCAGCCCACAGGGCTGGGCCTTAGCTCTGCAGTGAGCAGGACGGGGCCTCCTGCAGAGAAAACAGCGCGCGCCACAAGCAGAGTGTCTCCTCAAAGCTGAGGGACCGCTGCTCTACAAGGCCTTTCGGGAAACACCACCTTGAAACTCCTGCCAGTACTTGCACGGCTCTAATCTTCCCTCTTCTTCACGTTTGGGACACTGCACCCTTTCTAGAATCCTTCCAAAAGTCCAGTATCTCCCACTTAAAAAGTTTTCCTTCCTTAAAGCAAAGATATTTCTTCCAATGCTTCTTCTGATCACTTGGCTAGAGTAACTCCTGCCAAAAAATACCTGGAACTTAGCAGAAGCTCCTTTAAGAAAATGAGCTGAGAAGTAATTATATAGATATTAATTAGTTGCTTTCCTGTTTGCTTTTCCTACAATATTTTAATAGCTTACATGAAAAAAATCCAGAAGTCCCTAGCAGTCCAAGACTAACTTATGATTAAGTTATGCTGTATTTACTGCATTAAAATTAGTTGACAACTATGAAACTAGGCTGTCATAAGAAGAAATGGTACAAAAAAAAAAAGGAAAAAAAAATCCAACCATTTGTCCTTATGTTCACTAAAATAGGGCTTGAACCTCGTCTCAGATTTTTAAAATGTTATGAATAATCACTATGCATAAGTGATGTTTGTTAAGTTGCAACAGACATTGCAATGAACATTTATGAATGGTARGAAAAACACGTAGATATGTGCTGCATTACTGTTTATCAGAAGAGCTTCCAAACAGTTAAAAGGGAAGTTTCACAAATATTTTATGCCTTTTTGACTTCCAAGCTGTTGACTGCCTCTGGGGAGACAATATCTTAAGAGACCCAAAGTGAAGATACTGAAGAAGAGACTTCTAAGAGGGGTGGAAATAAAGCAAGCAAATATAAAAACTGGGGACAGAACATTTGAGAGAAAAGCACTTAGATTYGAGAGGGAAAGGAAAGAATGGCCTCTGCTCTGACTTTTCTTGCACTTCACAGCCAAGGGCCCTCTGATGCCGGGGTGCCTCCCTATAGGGGTCACAGACCAGGTGGGATTTAGGTGGGCACATGTATTTGCACCAACGACTGAGAGCACGTACAGCAAACTGCAGCAGGCCTTTTACTTACATGATTAAATATCAAAAAAAAATCTCTATATACGTATTAGTACAAGTGAGCTATGCCGAATGTTTTTCTAGAAATACTACTTTCTAATATTTCTGATTCTGGTAACTTAAATGAATAACTTGTCAAAGCAAGACATGCCTTTGTGCATGATTTGTTGTTTCTTAACAACAAAAACGGTTAAACTAAATTCTTCTTAAACTTAATTCACACAAGCCATCAAAGCTCATAAAAATTATTAATCCTGTCCCCTGCTAAAATAACATAACACATTTATAAACTATACATCAAAATTGCAAATAATTTCATTAAACAAAGACTACACGTTCCATTAATGCAAGACTGCTCACTTCAGACACAACATATGGTGCTCATGCAGAGCTTGCTTTTTAACAAATGTTAGAACTAGGTTAACCAAGGCACAGAAAGCTAAAATCATGAAGATGGGATTCATGGCTGGGTGAACAGTCTGAAGCAAATTTATCAAATTTGAAGCTAGAATCCTTACATGGCCTTTTTAAAAAAAAAGTGTCAAAGATTACTTTAGACACAATTTCATTGATAGCTTCTGTATATAGTTCTGCATCGTGGTAAATTCTTCTAGATCTTGTAAATATACATCCCTGAAAATTTTAGTAAAAAAAACAAAAATAAAATTACCAAGTTTCCTATGATATTTCTTCAGCCTATTATGGGAACATGCAGGCATATTATGCTATAAATTGCATTATGGGGATTCATGTTTGTTGCTGCAGTGACTGAAGATAAAACAGACTACACCAAATATTGCAAACATTGTGTAGTAACTTTGAAGAATTATTGGATTTTTTCCTCTGCTATGTGCCACCACCATTAATTCTGACAAGTGGAGATGTAGCTCTAGAACAGTTTCAATACTCCACTTTCTACATTTGGAAAACATATTATTTACAAAGTCTGTGGCCTAATCTTGTAAAATATACAAAAGGCAGTGTGTGTATACACACATATGTGTGTGTGGTGTATCTAAATATGACCTTGCAGGATAAAACATACAGCCACAGTTGTCAACAGTATTTGCTTAATCAGGTCAGTTTAAATAAGTCAACATGTTTTGTAAGTTCTTCCAGTACATGCTTTAAAKCATAATTTCTTCAAGAATAGGCTTGTCAACATATCTAAATGCCTCAAATGTCCCCATGAAGCTTTGTAAAACACTATGCAAGTCTGTAACCATGTAGAAAGAATAATTGCAAGTGGAAATTGGCACCTGCACTGTTTTAGACTAATACTAACTGACACGGGCATGGAAGGGGAACAGAATATCAAACCACAGACATCTATCTTTTATTTGTTTTAAATACATAATTGGGAATGTAAACAGCTTAGATTATATTAGCATTTGCACCACTAAATTTCCACAAGGTTCATTAGTCTAATTATACAATTAAAATAAACTCAGCTACATGTGTTAACATTTCAGTTCTAAGTATAAATTAGAACCAATGATAAAACTAGAAACAGGCAGCAAATGTTTTATTGACATCTAAATTGGCTGAGTTAGTCAGAGTAGTTCTTTGAAAATATGAACTCCCCACATGCCACCCAGCTGTATGGATATGATGATAATTTGTCTTAATAAAAACTGACAGTGTAAATACTGCAAGAGTAATAAAAATATTACACTGAACATCTAGAAGATGATGCAGCCATCACTGCCCATTGTATGACTGCACTGAAGTTATTTACCTATTACCTACAAACTAACCGCAATTTAATCACATCAGACAGGGCAGAAAATAACCAATTTAGATATTTATGAAAAGTCACTAATATGAAAAGGCAAAAACTAGTTCAGGGACAAAAATAACAATTGGCTTGAAAGCAGATGTGTAACAGCAGATGTTTCACACAAGCCATTCAATACTGGAAGATCTCTGGAAAGTTCTACCAGAACACAAATGTGGGATAAATCCCATGAGGCAACAGGGTCAGAGTTGGACCTTCTTGAGTTGGAAGGAAAATCAACTTGTTTGTTCAAGTTAAAGGATCATGGCTGGTCAACCCTAAATTGTACATAAAAGAATGTCTATACAYCACTGAACATCATTTACGTCACTGCACTACTGTGGAGGTATTAAAATGCCTTTATCAGCCTTCAAGTCTGAAGTCCAGAAATAATTTCCAGTTTTTGGCAACTGCTTGGCAGCTTTTTGAGTTGGATAATACCTCAAATCAAGTTTCACATACCTTTTAAGAGGGTCAGATCAAACCAAGCAAGCATTCAATGGAAACACCAAGGGAATGGTACATTCACACCTCAGGGAATCTTTGTAAAACGCTTGTCATTTTTTAAACTGTGGCTATATTTGAGGCTTGAAAGGCTGGAAATGTAGGAGAGGAACAAGGGGAGATGCAGATAACACCTACCTGCTGTACAATCAAATAGAGTATCATCTTCAGAATAAAACATAAGTGCAAAAAAAAAAAAAAAAAAAAAAAAAAAAGTGGAATACACGAATCTCAGATAGCTTTGTTTTCTTTGGAACTTAAGCGAAAGAATAAAACTTTTACAGTGAAGCTTGAAGTGATTTATAAACTCTGGAAATTAAAAATCACTTCTATTGAAAGCAAAATAAAATGAGATCTGTAGAACAGAACAATGTATAAACATATTTTTAGCAGAGGGTTTGTGTATATAACATTTTCTACTATCATTTGGTTTGTTTGTTCCTTTTCTTAAATGAAAACTGAAGCTGTAATTCAAGCTCATGAAATGAAAGAAAATTCAGGGTATYATTTTACCCATTCTTCTATGACATCCTTCTTTTTTTTGCCATTTGTTTAGGATGTGCAATATAGAAAAAAAAGGTATTTGTAGTTCATAGGTTTTAGATACACCATTTATCAGGGAATCTGTGTCATGCTTTGGTACAAGGAACAGCAGGCAGAGTCCCACCGTTCTACACAGAAACCCACTGTTCTACATCAAAATAACCTAATACTTATTTTTGCAAGTTCTCTGTGGTGTTTTTCAGATGGATAACCATTTCTTTTTTCTGCTCTGTTTTAATAACACATTGTTCACAGAATAAGGGATTGACGCTAAGAGGTAACTTTYCATAGGTTTAGAGTCTTCTTTCCTTTTGTGTTTTCCTCTCTCTCATTCACTTTCTTCTTTGCTCCTCGAGTTACACTTTTCTGATCACTGTCTATGCTGTCCTCCTTTCTGCTTTCATTTTCATGCCGCCTGCTCTGCTTAGCACTGCATTTATCCTACAGCAAAAATATGCAAGAAGGTTTTGCAAACAAAACTTTTATCTTGACAGCCTCCCTGACCATAAGGTGATGAATATGTACATGCCTCGTCCCTTTTGACAAGGTGAAAAAATTCAGTCGACCATAGCATATGACCAAAAAGCCAGGAAAGGACAGATGAGCTCCCAGTTGCAAAAAAAAAAAAATGACCCCATCTATAAAGAATCAGTAAAACTTTTCCCAGAACTTTGTTTTCCTTCCTCACAACAAATTTATCAGATTTGCCAAGAATCAAATAATTAGCTATCCCCATGAACCTAGCAAAGGTAGGATTAAGTGCCTATTTTCTTCTCAAAATAGGTGAGGAACCAGGAAAAATTAAGGGCTCCAAAGTGATGGTGGATGTATGTTGTTCCCTTTTGACACTGCTAGAAGCACTTGGAAAGAATGTCTTTATTCTCACTGAAAGCATCARGAAAGGAGACGAGAAGCAGTTTGCAGGAGATCAGCCTTGAGCAATGAGCAATCCCTTCCCTCCCACTGCTCCACAGAGACCAYGGGAGAGACCTCCTGGGAAGCATGAGGTGCTCTCTGGCTCTTCTCCACACTTTGAAGGCACAGACCCAGGTGCACCCTGTCCAGCTCAGAGAGATGAGAACCTACAGCAGCTGCCCAGGCTTCCGCAGCTGCTGGGAAGACACTAAAAGTCAACCCAGGTAGGAGGCTGCTGACCCTGCACCCATGCTAATACATAGACATGCCTAAGTATAAGTTGAGGACAACATATACTAATAGTTATACATATACAAATATATAGAGAGAATTTCATATATATATTCATACATATTATATATGAAAATATTATAAAGTACATAATGCATAGTATAAACGTAACCAAAAACTTGTAATCTCAGGATTTAAATAAAGCATAGAAAGTCTTTCATGTTTTATGACATAAGTATTTCAGAATATTTCAGAATATTTCAGAATATTTAAGGTTGGAAGGGACCTCTACAGATCATCTAGTCCAACCTTCCTGCTCAAGCAGGCACACCTASAGCATGTGGCACAGGGTGGCATCCAGGCGGGTTTTGAAGACCTCCAGAGTAGGAGACTCCACARCCTCCCTGGGCAGCCTGTTCCACTGCTCTGTTACCCTAACAGTAAAGAAGTTGCTCCTCACCTGGAGACGGAATTTCTTATACTTCAGCTTGTGGCCATGAGTAGTGTTCTTTTATATATATATAAAAAATATATTATGTATTATATTTTTTTCTGCATTTGTATCTTTTTTCTTTCTTTTTTTTTTTTTTTTTAATGTTCCCATTATGTATAGATAGCATAAGCTTTGCCTGAGACATGACAAGCACACTGGCATTCTGAACACCATACCTGTGTTAAATCCTTATTAAATGTCAAAATATAGATTTAAAAATCAATTTTACTAAACTGAGTAGGCACTTAGTAAGCAGCCAGGTCTCTTTCTTGGCCTTCACACTGGCTAAATCCCAAGTAATTGTATGAACAATCCAACCATTTCCAAGTTTACGAGATTTTCTTTTAAGCGTACGTGTGATAGAGCATTCACTCATGTCTCTTCCATTCCCATGTTGAATTTATTCAATTTCAGGTCACAAATAGAAGAATTTACCACGTTATGTAAGTTCTTAATGCCTTAAGTCCTCAGGAAAAGTTACCTTAAATTCAAAAACTCTCACAATACACATCAGTCTGGCTATCAAAGCATTGTGCTTAAAGCAAACTTCACCAGTAAAGATTTTACACCATGTTTCCCATCCTGGGAAAGTATTTCATGCAGAAGGAAAAACGTACCTCCCTCTGAAAAGACAATATTAATGATATTAACATAGCAAGTGATTCTTGCTTTTAATCACTGAACAGAAATTCCTATCGGATATGTGGACAACTAAGAACACATTACTATTTCGATGTGTCTAAACAAAGATTACTTTCTTAAATTGTGTATTTCTTTCCCTTTTTCTTGAGGCATGTACTTGAGGGTTTCAAATGTAACACTAATTGTTATAAACTGACGGTGGTATTTTTCTGAGATTCTATTAATATTTCAATTAYGGATCCTAAACTGTATGACAGTATTTTAGTAAAGTAAGCATTTTGGATGATGCATTGTTTCCTAATGTAATCCATAAAATATTACTTTAATGCAAATTACTTTCCTTATGCTTTTTTTTAAATTTCAGAAATACCAGACTGGCATATAATGAAATTTAAAATGGGTTCATGTGCTTTGAAAACAGAATTTCTATTACACATCCTGCAATTTTAATGAATTTTGAGCTGTACACAAGGTGTATAAACTTTTTTCCTTTCTCATTTTTTCCTTTCTCAACTAGTAAAGCATCCTTTAAAAAATACAGTACTGCATATAAGGAAAAGTCATAATGCAAGAATTAACACAACTGCAATAAAGCACAGCAAGTTATGATCAATTAAAAGCCTCCACAATACGTTACCTTCCGCCTCGAGCACTGAAAGGCACTACATGGATTCCCAAAGGCCCTCCGTCGTTGGAGACTTCTACGAGCTTTACCATATCACTGTGAGACAATGACGAATGAGGCAACGTGAACATGTAGTGACCGGACCAAAAAATCCCACACACACATGCACAGAAAAACAAACAGCCCAGAAATTAAATCATGGCAGTGAAAACATCRTTGGATGTTACATACCTGAATATTAATCTGATGGCATGAAAGGAGATCAATCAACAACAAAAAAATCCATTAATAAAACAAAAATTAAAGGCATTTTGGCAAACAACTTTTTACATAAAAATCACATGGATTCATTTCGTCTTTATTCTAAAGTTAAATTTAAGCTCTCTGACCCACACTAATACTTAAGATCAAGATTTGAATTTCTGGGGTTTTCATACCGTAAATAGGACATGCAATTTTTCAGCAAAAGCCCAAAAGCTGATCGGAGTTGGCATGTTTATTTGTTTATTTTAGAGAATGACAACTCCTAAGTCTTAATGTTAGTTTTACATAATAACCAATAACACAGAGGAGAATTATCAAATTTGTAATTCAATAAAGTCTTTTGGATTTAAAACACATTAATACAATTGGCTTTATTCTGTTTCCATTTCCTTTAGAGAAAATTGCTACATCTCCCTCAATTTACTGCACAAAGCTTCTAAAACAAGAATTAACTATATCATGCACCCCCCTGAAACAACTAAACATCTAGTTTTGAATTATAGTCTTCGCTTTAGAGAGAAAAACAGGCTCAGAAGCTGTACAATTCTAGGAACAGATTTGGACAAACCTCATAATGAGCCTGAAACGTGCGTGGATCAGGAAAGGTGCAATATTACCACAAGCTACAAAGAGCCATAAATAACCAAATGAAAAAATAATACCCACAGACTAAACTGCTCAATAAATCTAGAAGTCACAGATTTGAACTGAAACCATAACCTAAACTGGTGGCTTAGGTCTCTCCCTGGTATTAGATATTTTATCTGTATTTCCTGGCAGCATATGGATACCTYCAGGAAACCTGTTCTTAGAAGCATAGGAATTATAATAATCTAGAAATAAAACTGGAGCAAAGTGCAAAACCAATGCTCCGTGACAGCAGTAAAGATGTTCCAATTCCTTCAACATTCCTTCAACATGGTGGCCCACCATGAAATCTTGCCCTGCTTAATCCAGAATTTGAAACTAATGAGTCCACACGSTGCTAGGGAAGTCAACAATCCAATTTGTCTCATATTCTTTCCTCAGTAACCAGAAAAGTGTTATTTTTCAGAGAGAAACTTTTGAACCTTGATAGCACTTTAGCATTTGGTAATATTTCCAGTCCTGGTTTCTTTGCAGCCTACCTTCTTTTCATTCCCTCTATACATTAAGGCTAAGTGTTCATTAAATTTTGTGCAGAGCAACTCATAGGAATCAGGTAATGCCTTTCATGTCCAAAAGGTATTCTGAGGCGTATTTTACTCCTGGTATGCCTATGGCCCCCTATGAACACCCTTTTTTCTGAATTTCCTGTTGGCTTAAAAGAAMACTGAAGGCTGAGGAAGAGAACAAGTAAAATCAATGTGATTCACCTGGAACTTTCATGATAAGTGGAAACACAGCTTAAATTAAAAGGTCAATCTTCATAACCAGCCCACACTGTTTAACTTGCTTTATTGCTTGAGGCAGTATTYGTCCCTTACTCTCATATACACTTAAAGTTTATGCACTCATTTTTCTTCTATTTTTCTTTTAAAAACTCATCCTAAATTTAAGTGATAAACTACATAAAGGGAAATGATCCCTTCCTAATCAATCCATTACATACATCTTCCAAAGTACCTTGACTTTGCCGAAAAATTTCAAGTGTTTTAATTCTGCTTCTTGCCCTAGTTTTCAAATAGGGCACTTCAAACAAACATACAAGAAGTCATGATACCAAAACAGTATGATATCAAACATCATATGATGAAAAACCAATAAATCAGTAAAAGGAAAATCAAGAAGTATTAAATTTGACAGAAATTCTATAAGCTCTATTTAGCAATCAGCATTTCCAATTTACAATAACAGATTTTCTTAAAGGAATAGAGAAAACCTTACTATACATCACTTAATAGATGTCACCATGATCTTTATCTAACGTTCGAACATTCTCAAGTTAATTCATAATTTAATTCAGAAAYAATAGAAGAAAAAGATGTTTTCTAATTTAAAATTTATGTTTGATTAATCTAAAAGGTTTAATTTAGGGATAGGAGGGATATTTTCTCAAAAATTCCATAGTGAGGTATGGATGAGATCCTTGTAATGAAATGCCAAAGGTCAAACTTTCTGTACCTTATGATTAGATGAAATATCATTTACTGAATCTTTAAGATGAGAGGGAGTTTCTGACTATCAAACAACATTAGTTTAGATTTATTTACAAATTTGGAGCTTTTCTGACCAGGCAATTCCKCTGAACCCGCACCATTCTCCCTGTATACTGTAGACTAATGAGAGTTTCAAAGATTTCTCCCACTGAAAGTCTTGCCTGTTCATTTATTTGTGCTAGCTTTGACCCTACTCCCTGCAACAACTTTTCAGAATTCCATCATAAGCATCTCCTGTGAGGCAGAAAATCTGCTGTAGCCTCAGCACTTAAAATGTCAAGTGTCCAATGCTCATCTTTAACACAAGCTTTTAAAAACTTTTTTAAAGCTGCCTTAAAAAAAGTGCAATAAGCAGATGGTTTAAAATGGAACTGCATCATGGCAAACAAAGGCTGTCCTGCTTTCTTAAAAGCAGTATCATTTATTCTATAAAGTTTTCAGCTAGTTTGAACTCAGTTTCAAGTCTCATCATTAAAATAATGTGTTCTACCAATAACTTACTCCAGGGAAAAATTGGTAGCATTCTCCAACCCACTGTCTGAATGTCCAATAGGTTCAACTCTACTGTTGTCCTCCTCTGTTCGATCTTCATCCTAGATATTAAAAAAAATACATACATTTAAACTTAGGTTTAATAATTGAACTATTTCCAAATGGAGTTTAACATTCTCATTTTCAAATTATGACGGTAACCACTGTTTTGGTAGAAATGCATACTTCTACAACTACAAAAAAATGTTTCTACTGCTGTCTACATCTGTTGTAAATTATTTTTGTCATTTCATGCGCTTTTTAATGTCCTTTGAGTTTGTTGTATATCTTACTCTCATTGTGAGTATAAAAGCAATTCCTCGGAGATATCAGAGCCAATTTTTTTTTGAAATGGTACACAAGTGAAAGCACAAAATAAGCTGCCAGTCAGMAGCTATACTTCTCTTGAAGTTACCTGAGGACTCAACTGAATGCACAAGTCAACACATCAAGTCTCATTTGCGAAGAGATACAAACAGTATTAGGCAGTGATTTGTATAATTACAATAAGCCCTCTGTATACAATTTATGACGAGCCTTTATTAATACCATTCCAGAAATGGTTGACRTGAAATAGTTACATGAAGCTCTAATCCTAATCAATTGATATTACTTTTAATGTGATCTTCCAAAATTAACATATAATATTCACTAAATCTCTAATTTTAATGTTAGAGATGAGATTGCTGTATTGCCAAATTTATCAAGAAAATTCAGGGGGAAACATTATAAAGTGTGAACGGCAGGATTCAAAGCCCAGATTTCAATTCTTGCAGCGGAGCCATCAAATCAGTAAAACGCTAAGTGATAGGTTAGAAGTTCGGCACACAGAGTCAGACGATATATTAAATTATTGAAGCAATACTAAAGCAAGGCAGAGGCAGCTGGTAATGTCCAATTGACATTTCCATTGAGGGCCTGCCGAAGCAGGAGCCTGGAACACGAGGCTCCTCTGAGCCGCAGATCCGGGCCAGCTCCGCACTGCATGAAGCCGAGCTCCTTGAAGATTGATGATGCTGGCTTTGGAGAGGCTTTAATATGCACTTCTTCGTCATCTATCTCTGTTAAGCACTAGGCAAGTAATACATCTCAAAGGTTAACCAGCATCTTGAACCTGCCTAGAACTGCATTATGAATGTAAACAAGAACTCCAAATAAAATATTTTCCATAGAGTAAAAGTTGCTTATAAACCCAATACAATAATATGTCGCTTATATAAAAACAAAAATATTAGCTTGTGTCATATTTATTGATTTCATTTGCATTTGCAAACGTGCAGCTGAATGGAATGAATTATRGCTCAGAATTATAAATATTTAAATACACATAGAAATTATAAAATCATAGGCAGTTTTCAGAACTGCGAATGGGGAAATCAGAAGACTTGGAATCATTTCATTCTAAAAAATATGTGTTCCAATTTGTTTCATAGGGCACCTCGCAGGTCATTGTCAGGAGCTTCTTGCTTTAAAACTGGGGACACATGATTGCAGAGACAGGCACAAGTATTTTCTACATTTCCTGGAAGCTGTYATCTGCAAGTCTAATGTTACAGTTATGGAAGAAAATTTTGAATTTCTGCCACACAGAGTCAACACACAGTAAGTACATACACATGTAAGATGAGACCAAAGTCACATCCTTTCTCTTAGCAGATGCATTTCCAGTCATAAATGAGTGCTTGGCTTTGTCATGTCATTTTAGCAAATACTTCTATGTACTCACAACACACCTATAGATTTACAGAGTGGCAATCACTCTAATCTAATAGCACTTGGGCCATACTCTTCCCTTCAGCCCCTACGTGTTTCCCTTGACTAAAGCAAGTCTGTTTGCAAACGAAGCTCCTGCTGCCTCCTCAGTCTCGTGGCCTCCCCTTGGACCTCTCCTTGCTGGAGGCCTTTCAGTGGCCTCCTGGGCCACAGCCAGGTGTGCCCAGCACAAAATCCTTCTTTCTTTCTTTCTTTCTTGTGATGGAAAGTGATGGAAAGAAAGATGGAAATTTCTTTGGTCTCAGGGCTGACCAGGGCTGTGCTGCCTTCCCCAGGGCCAGCTCAGAGGCCACCTTTACCAAAGACATGCTTGTGTCGGTAAATAGGGCCTTCAAGGGAGAATCACAACTGAAGCACGACTACCATAATCAACAGATGTATTATATAAAAAAATCTTTAGTATTACTGTAATCAGGCACGCTACTCTTCTCAAAATAACAGAGTTTGATTCATAGCGAAGTGAATGGAGAGATAAATTGGACACCTGCAGAGGGACTCGACTGAAAATTCTGACTTACTAAGAAAAGCAACTAGCTGTGAAAAACTCTGCATCAGGTAATTATTTCTTTATTTGGAAACCAGTTTACTGCTGAAAGGCTAATTCCACCTGTGTGTGCTATCATGAGGTAAACCAATGAAAAGGTCATTTAGCAGGGGAGGAAAGTTTCGGAGAACTGAAACTGATATTAATCTCAGACTTTTTCTTGAAAATATTTTTTGGGCAAGCTCCCAAGTTCAGGAGCTTTCCTGTCTCCCTACAAAAACATTGATACCTGCTCTATCAGACGATGGAGCTTCTCATGTAACTAATGACCAACGTACTCCCAATACAGCTTTTTTTCCCCAGAATTGAAGCAATAAAATGTCGTTTCWTTTTTGCAGCACAGAGAAAAATCAAGTGCCTCTTCCAGTGCATTTCTACATACCTAATGCACTAAGGATTAAATTTCATCAGCTCCCTTTTCCTGTTAACTGAATGACTAACCCGGTGCCTGAGCCCTTCTGTGGCACAAGGAATGGAAGCAACTTTCCATAATGCTCGCACRCCATCTGTCATGTATTTAGGCCCTAATAGGTTAAACAACATAATGACAATCTTGAATAATGGCATCAAAAACAAAGTCCTTAAAATTATTTTTAACTATTTTAATAGAATTAGGGATTTCAAAGAGTAATTCTCCTTTTTAGATAGATCTGTAGAAAATTCCTGCCTTGTAAGAGCTGGGTTTCTGCACAGGCAGACAGTAGCTGAATCTTGCAAAAACAAACAAAAAAAAACACACACAGAAAAATAAATTGCAATAAAAAAAAAAAACAAAACAACCACCATCACCAAACCAAAAATCAGCACTATGATTATTATTGACAAAGCAAGTGGAGACATTGATCTAAAAATAAAAACAAAACTAAAATATCTAAACTTTAAATCTAAAAATCTAAATAAAACAAAAAGTTTTATTTCATTACTGTTTTGAGTCCTGCAATAAAATTAATAAGCTGCTGCGAGTGGACTCCTAATGCGAACAACTCTGCATGCAGAAAGGTCCACTGCATCCTCTGCATGCGCAGCTCGGAAGAAATACATGTGTAAAGTTGTCCATTTGTTCTGTATTTTTAAAGAAAATTTCCCTAACTAATCTTAAAAGCCTCAAAGTTTAAAAATGTTAGCAATATACTTGCCCACAAAATGTTGCTCAGTATACATGCACCACAATACACCTTTCAGTTACGCTGCCTGGGACTGCGGCTCCTTCAGGGATTCTTTCACATGTGATACAGGAGCCAGCTACAATTCCATTGGCTGTGGAGGGAAGACTTCCTTGCTTCATTTTCAAGGCTCTTCAAGCCAAGCCTTCCTCATCTGATGGGATACCCCATCTTTCATTACCARTATAACAGGCCTTGCATCTGATTCATCTACAGACAACTTCAGACACACACTTTCCCCCTTGCATCTATGTTGTTCCTTACATAGATAGTCTATACAAGGTAAGTAAAGCAACTCTCCATGAAGAAAACTTGCAAGAACCTCTTCATTTTCCTTCTTCACATTCTCCCCTGAGACTCTTCTTTGAACAAATACCAACACAACAGTCAACAGCAGTCATTGAGTATGAATGAACTCCTGTCCCCTCAACTCCTACCCAGTTGCTGTGAGCTGTGAGCACTTGGTAGATCAAGGCAGCCAGTTTGAGGACATTCTGACCTGCAGAAGAGCCTTCAATCAATGGTGATGGGCACAGTCTAGGCAGGTTAGGTAAGGCTCTGGCTTCCCACAAACACAGGATCCATTTCTCAAATCTGATATTGATTGCACCATTTTCTTCATAAGTGAAAAAAATGGGAGTAAATTCCCTTCAGTGTATAGRGATATAATATGAATTTCATTATTGCTTGAGAAGTGCTTGGATATTCTACTGATTATGGCTGTGAGAAAGACAGTATTAGTAAGTATCTCTGTTTCACAGTGATCTGCGACATCAGCCTCAGCAGGCCCAAACCTGCCCAAGCCAGCGCTTACCTGCCCCGATCTTGCTGGTAACTTACCCTCAATTCAAACGGGTTAAACCCCACCTTATATCAGTGCCGGGAAGGGAATTATGGAAGWGGAGGACGGATGGGACACCTGAGCTCGCTTGCACCATCTGGCCCCACCGCGGCGGATGAGGGCTGGCCTCACAGCGACCCTATCTGAACGGGAACAGTCCTTGCATGGAAATCCCTGCTCAGTGGCTCCTAGTGACTGCTCTGTGTGGCCTAGTCAGCTGGCRCTGTCAAGCATGCCAACACACTGGGAGAAAACAGAAAGTCTGGGAATTTCAGCTGTAAATTGTAGTAAGTGTGTTGCCAGTGCACACAAACCAAAAATTGTTCTGACTTCAAAACTTGTTAATTGATGAAAAATCCAACCACCACAAAACTGGCGCGCACACATGCACAAGAGCTACACAAAGTAATGTTCTTTTATGGGGTAATTAAACCTGTTTTGTAATTTTACTAGTCTACAAAGAACTCTGCAACAAAATATTTTTGTATTGGCTGGATGATCTTCTTATAAAGCACTTAATAGCATTTTTGCAAATACTATCAACTGAAAACAGAGTCTTGAAAAGGCAAGGAATTGCAGCCATTATACTGAACAAGTAACATGATAATATATGGTAAATATATCAGATACACACATGTCTACAAATAGAAGTCACTCAATACACAGCCTCWGTGTTTTGGAAGGAGAAATCAAGCTTGCTTGTTTTCTAGCTTTTTTTTTAATCTTAGTGTAGAGAATTAA